CAAAAATTTCAAAATATATTGTAGCTTTTGATTCCATGTTAACTAACTCAATCTTACATTTTAAATCCATTAAAGTATCAAATATCCTTGTTCTTTACTTAGGGGAGGGTGCAGTCCAATTTCATTTGTATCTTTTTAAATTTATCTCTTAAGTTGCAGCGGAGGGCCGGATTACTCAGTCTCACTGATGAAGAGATCGATGAAGGAAAAGTTGAAACATTCTTAGCTTATAATGTAACACTGGACCCAGATTTCACTTAGAGACCCCCCCATTAAGTATGTAGCTAAAGAAGGTGTATCAAGACTAAGAGTAGTCTTGATAATGAGGAAGATACATTTCTTGTCTTAAATTAATAAAAGATTATTAAATCATATGTGGGACCCATAATGGGGAGTATGTGTAAAACCATAATGGAAATGTTCATCTATAACATTGGGTACGGTGAATTAGAGGTGACACCTTGATAGGAAGTGACAGTAGATTTATTTTTACGATTTAACTTTTTCCGTCACGGAAAATACCGCGTGGGGCCCACATCGGGAACGGGGACCATCCAAAGTATTTAGGGACCACATATAGTATTAATGCTGATCCAAATAATACCAATGGATCGTGGACCCCAGGGATGTCAAGAACGGCAACAAGACGACCGAGCCGATGTGAGGGGCAGATTTATGTTTTATAACTCTTGGGGTTAAACGTGAGAGTACCTAAGTTAATCAAAGTATCAAACTCATGATTTGAGAAATGATTCAAATGGATTAAAATTTGTGATTAGCCATAATAATTATAGATAATGTGAATATGGCATGCTTGATGAGTAAGAAATGAACTTTGTTGATAATTGTATGAATACAATGTTTTAAGAGAAAGGACAATGAACCATATTTTTTGTTTAGGCGAGAGATTACCTAAGGTAATCGAGAAAGTGTTTTACAAAATGATTGCATACATTTAAGTATGCATGTGATATGGCATGATAGAGTATGAACAAAGTTGATGTGCATGATATGCAAGTTTGATTATTAAAAATGTGATTGTTTGATATGTATGATGTTGTAGGGGTCCAAAAAAGTATTTTAGGATTGATAATTTTGAGATGTACATGTGTATAGAATTTCACGGAAATCGGGCTTCGTTTGGAGGGTCAAACATGCGTTGATCGTTGGGTCAAAGCTTATACCCGACCGGGTATAAGGAAACCCCGAATGGGTTTTTGTGTTGGGAGGCTTTTGCCTCACATAACCAAACGAGTATGGGTGGGTACCCGATTGGGTAACCCACCAAATTAAAAACGAAGATTTAGTCATTGGTTTACGCACCCGATTGAGTATGACCCTATACTCGACCAAGTATAAATGTTAAACACCTCAAATGAGAGTTTTTGAGTGGCATAACGTGGACCGTCTGTGTAGGATCCGTCCACGATGGTTACACGCAATGGGTTTAAATAGTGACTATAAGGGTAGATATAGTCCATAGTTGAATGTATTAAATGGTATTAATTCATATCCGTTTAGGATATTGATGGTTTTTGAGTAACCCGAGTTCGGGCAGGACCCGATGCTAGTTGTACAAACATGATTTGGATCCGGAGGAACGCATTCATGGCATGAGGGGAATGGGTAGTCTTGATAAAGGGTATTCATAAGATGATTTGAATGCGATAATTTAAAGTGCATGATTAAAGAACTTGTATGACAACTTAGGAAACAAAGGCACGTGTAATCCTTTAGGTGTGTTGACCCTCCATCAAATTACGCATAGGTAACAAAGGACCGTGTAGTCATTGCGGTGTGTCAACCTCCATCAAATTACACATAGGTAACAAGGGTCTGTGTAGTCCTTGAGGTGTGTTAGTCTCCAGCAAATTACACATAAGATGAGGCGTATGCGTACCCTTCAAGGCGGGATTAGTCCCTATAATGTGTACTTTCATAGTAAGGACGAATAGCCATCGAGGTAGGTAAACCTCGGGGTAATGAATTTAAGTAAATGTGCATGCTTAGTCGGGGACGAGTTCCCGATAATTTAACTTCCTTGAACTAGGAATTGATTTGGACCATGCCCGTGATTAGGGAGCCAGGAGAGCCACCCACGAGTATTTATCTTTTGATATCAGATGAATTGGCCTGCTAGTAATTTCTTCCGATGGTAGGACATGGAAAGGGTGAATCAAATGGTGCTGTTATGTTGAAATGGTTCTGAAAGACAAAATGGACATACATGTCGGACATTTGACTCGTATGTTTATATGGGGTAATTAGGTGTTATTCCGATAACTATATTATCACCCTATATTGAGAGTCTTATGTTTGAAATGATAGTTATTATACAGTACACATAGCCTTCTCTCGCCCATACTTGTTCGGTAGTACTGACCCTTCATGGCATCTCACCATTTTCAGGTCGAAGTTAGAGCTCACTTCATGTACCCGTTGTCAGGGAGATCGATGGAGAAAAAATGTGATTTGTGCTTGCTCCAATTATGTTTCTAAGTAAATACTTAATGTTCATGGAACTATATTTTGAACTTATGAATTATTTGGAGCCTGTGAGGTCTTGTTTTGCCCATGTGTGAGTTCTTATAAAACATTAACATTCTGTTATGTGTTTAATTATTTGTTGATGTTGATATGTATGTTTACTAAACAGTTTGACATATTCATGTATCAGATGTCTTGTGCAATTCGGTAAGGATGAAGTGATAAAGTGCGGTTATCCTTGTTGGATTGTACGGCGGTTGTCTACGTGGTACGGATTGTTTCGAGGCATAATAATTAAGTGGTGTCGGAGCCTTGCGGTCACTAAACTATATAACAAGGAACCGAAATCGTTGGTTCCGGTTCGTAACCATTTTAACTAATCATAACAACAATAATTGTAATTATAATAATAGTTATAATAATAGTAATGGATGATGCTGTGCTAACAAGAAAGAATTCCTAAATAGAGGTAGAAACGTTTTAGAATTTGAAAATAGGACTACCATATTTTTATTCTTTAAATGTGAGTAATTAGTGCCAAACTTAGAAAATATTGCATGTTTAAGATTGGTAATGCCAAAACATGGTGGTAATTACTTTTATTTATGGAGTAAAAACATTATAGACCGTTTTTGTAATTCGCAAACATTTTTACTCTCTTTTTCAAAATGAACACCAAACAATAATTTCATTATATAGTCAGAAATTTGGAATGTCCACAATCCTACAAAACATAACTTAAACATTGAGAAGGAAAATAGAGAAGCAACCGAGATCAATGTAAGATGCATATGATACAAGGTCAAAGACGTAAATATACTCGAATCTTTGTCTCATCTTTTGACGCTTCCTCTTGAGCCTCCTCACACGCTTCTTCTTTTACTTGGATATCTTGTTGAAGTGTTTTGTTTGCTTTCACAGCGAGATTCGATTTTGAGCGATTGATGAAAAAAATATCTCAAACGTTTTTACTCTTATTCAGGACAATTTCTTTTGCAATAATAACTATTGGTCAGTATCCATCATATTAGTCGTTCCTAATTAATTGATTTTGTTAAAATTGCTATTAATTAAGTACACAAAGCTTACTAAAGATGTTTTAAACGGGACTGTAATTATATGATCCAGTCTAATATGTTATCGTCTTATTTGAGTTATTTGTTTAAGTCTTGTCTGATTTGATTTAGTAAATATTTGTGCTATGTGTATCTTAGCCGAAGTGTGGTCTTCTCTGATCTATATGGTCCGATTTGATCTGGTCTGGTATGATATGTTTAAGTATGGTCTCGACTAAAACCAATACATTTAAAAACATCCTATAACCGAATTGTTTTAATAAATAGTCAAATTACTTAAATATTAACTTGTAGATTTATACATTGATTTATAACTACATGCCTATAAACAATTATTTTTCTTGGTTGTAAAAACTATGGGTAGAAAAAAAAACAGAAAAATTGAAACCGTCTGACAATCCGACTGAAACTGAACCAATCAAAACCCACTCAAACCAAAATTGACTCACAAATGACGGTTTGATTTACGGTTTCACCCTTTGAGTTAAAACATTGACCGAACCGACAGACAAAAATAGACAAGAACATGCTAAAATCATTTGAAACCTGCATAAATTAACCGAACTAAGACCAAATCGAAACCGAATCAAGTAGTGCGGTTCGGTACAATTTCACCTTTTCTAAAATACCAATTGCCCTAAATAGGACTAAAACATGGTTAAAAAGTCAAAATAGGAGTTATAATGTTTTCCCCCTTTGTAGGAATCATGTGCTCCTATTTTGTGTTTTTAATGTTTGTGCAATGTCCATAGTACCCCCATCTTAGTCATCGCCTTTTTCCCGTTCGTAACCCTCATCTTCCTCTCTAGCTCGAACATCTTTCTGCCGTTCGTATCCTCATCCCTCTGGCTCCAATTTATTTCCAAGCTGCTGTTATCCCCCTGCTAATCTCCCTACTATGTTAATCTTTTCCGATCAAAAACTCATTCAATTTCATAAATTAAATCAAGGTCCCTCCCCTTACTTTTCCTTCTCTAATTTCTTTCTTTTTTTCGCATTCTCCTTTTCCTCCTCCTCCTTCCATTATTTTTAAAAAATGTCATGTTTACTCTAAAAAATGTCATCAAAATGACATTTACACATGTAAAGAACACTACATTGTTCCTCCTTTCACTTTTTTTAAAAAATGTCATGTTTATTCTCAGAATGTAGTGACAGTGTCATATTTTCTCTATGATATGTCATATTTTGCTCTCAAAATGCAATAAAGATGTAAAGTAAAAATGCCACCTCGATAAATGTATGACATGCATAACATAGGCATTTTTTTCAAATTAGTATTTCATAAAACTGAAATTATGACACTTTCAGATTCAAATGATTAGAAAAATGAAAATTAAAAAGAAAAGAAACCACTTTAAATAGTTCAAAAGCCTTAAACAAATTTGGAAAACAAAGCCTTGAACACTTTAAAAAATGTTTTTTTTATTGAGAGTTACCAAGTTTGAAACTTGGAGTGAGTTTCACACCCCTCCCCGGACCCCTACTACTCACCCGACAGCTGACCGATCACCGTACAATTGGCGAGTCACTGTTGGGAATCTTTCCGGCTTTTCCTCACCAACTGCTCTCTCAAAGGAAGGTCATATAAGATATGGGAAACAGGCGGCTCGCGCAGATTGATACTAGTGATGATGAAGAAGATGAGGTGTTGCTATCTCGGGTGTACCGTCATTCTAGCAACGCCGAAGAGAGACGAAGGCGCAAGAAAATGAAGCTGGACGAAGAAGACGAAGAAGAAGACAAGCAAAACCAGAACAAGAGGAAGGCGGTACAGGATTTAGGAAACGACATAGGAAAGGAAAAGAAGAGCAGGAATAACGAGGTAAAGAAATCAGCGGATGAATCGGAGCCGGAGGAGGACGTCGATGAGGAAGTTCAGGAAGAGGCTAAGCCCATTGGAGATGTCATTAGGGTTAGTGGAAAGGCTCGAGGCCGCAGGAACCACTACAAATCGTTCGAATACGACGGACTCAGCTATCAACTGGTGACTTCTATGTACTTGTTATTATTATTATTATTATTATTATTATTATTATCATCATTATTATTATATTATTATTATATATTATACATTATATATTATATATTATATCAAAGTGCTTGATTAATTTGCTTGAGCCGAAAAATGCCTTATCTTGCTCATCATTCTGAACTGTTAATTGGGCATTTGGTTGTTTTGTGTGATGTTATTGGATAAATGGAATCCTTGGAGTTACTTAGAGTTCTCTTGGTACTCCTGTAATTTTTTAGATGGTGTATTATATAAGAAGATTGCAATATTTCCGTTTGAGAAGCTGGTGGATCACATTTTACTGATCATCTAATCTAAAGTACTGATTCTGAACTGTTATAATATAATGTGCTCTGAGTACAGTAGAAAATCATGTAAACAGTCTTCTTAATGTTTATGGTTGGATGTCCTTTCCTTTCTTTCCCTTGCCATATTGTCTGATTATTCCTTCAACATTATTATGTTGAAGGAGGATCCAGTGCTGCTAGTTCCAGAGGAGCAAAATCAAAAACCTTATGTTGCTATTATCAAGGTAATGATTTTATTTTTCATATGAGATCCAATGTTTGTTTAAATTATCTTACCAAGGTTCCTTGATGGCTTATGTTTTCCATATTGTGAATTGACTTTTGTGCTGCATCTCGTTTTTGCTTTTTTGAATTCTTAAATCATAATCACCCATGTCTCACACCCTTTATTTTATACTCTCTTCGTCACGAGTTAATTGTCTTGTTTTGGTTGGCAGGCTTATTAGTAAAGTTGTTGAAAGGGTAAAAGATGTGGTCAAGATTTTAGTAGAAAATGTGCAATAATATGAACCACTTTGTCATAAAGGAACAGGACAATTATTTTTGGACAACCAAAAAGGAAACAAGACAATTATTTAAGGACGAAGGGAGTTTTTCAAAGTCAAACTGACTTCAAAGGGATGGTTATTGTAGCACCAGTCAATATTTTTTCATGAAGTATCAAATTTTCTGGAGTCTATTGTTCTTTGAAACTGGTACAGTGGTACTTTCAGCATAGAACTTGAAATGTATTCCCTCTTATGCATGAAACCTGAGTTTGCTGGTGATTTACAGTATCCGATTGCCCTTGCTTGGTTGGGGGATTTTGAAGGGGAATAATTAATGTGTCACACTACCAAATATGGAAATAGTCATGTGCGTCGTATTAAATTGACATAGTATATTAGTATCCACATGGATCGCATATTCGCATGACTATGTTTCCACATTAAAGTGTGACCACATGTGCTCCTTAGAAGTACTGGAAGGAAGGGAAGGGGTAGTATTCATTTTATTATTTTATTCTTACATTTGATGTCAAAGAAAGTGGATGTGAAGGATCTTGGAGAAATAAATGGTTTAATTATACTGGTTACTTTCTAATCTAAGATTTACATAGAGAAATAAATTAGCAATATAAAAATAAATCCTCCACTCCCATACAAAATCCCCCAACAAAAGAAATTGTTATGTTTTCACATCAATTAGCACTTTTGTGCTTGCAGGATATTTCTCAGACCAGTAAAGGAAACATGATGGTCAATGGGCAGTGGTTTTATCGGCCTGAGGAAGCTGAGAAAAAGACAGGTGGAAACTGGCAATCACGTGATACAAGGGAGTTGTTCTATAGTTTTCACCGTGATGAGGTGCCTGCTGAGTCTGTGATGCACAAGTGTGTGGTACACTTCATTCCTTTAAACAAACAGATCCCAAAGCGCAAACAACATCCCGGATTTATTGTACAAAAAGTGTATGACACAGAACAGAGGAAGCTTTTCAAGTTAACAGACAAGGACTATGAAGATAGTAAGCAACATGAGATTGATCTCCTTGTTCAGAAAACTATGTCACGGATTGGCGATCTTCCGGACATAGAACCTGAAGACCACCACCCTTCTTTCACAGCCAATGAAGATCAGTTGTTGAAGAGTAAACGTCTTTTAAGGAAAAAGAGTATTCATCTTCTGGATGTATCGAGAGATGATGAAGTGCCTAGCAGATGTGGCCAATCTCTTAAAGCAGAAACACCTGGAAGCTCTGCGTGCAATGCATCAGAGTACTTCACAATCCTCAAAAGCTTCAATGTCTTGACTGATGCTGATCACCGTAACAGGTGGTTGGAGAAGCTCCTTCAAGCGATTCAGTTTATGTGCAATCCCTTGAATGGTGATGATGGTAATGAAAGAGGTATTTCTGGTCATAATGATCCTCCTACTAAAACTAGTTCATCAAAAGGTGTGGATGAGGACAACAATTCAAATGTAAGGATAGAACATTTGATTGTTAATATGTTATTATACATTCATACCTTCCTTTTTTAGAGTGCTGATATATTATGAGTTTTTTAAGATGATATATTGATATGTCTGCGTCCTGCGTCCTTCTACAGGGTGAGAATAATTTTCATTGGCCGGACAGCGCTGTTCCTGCTATAGTTTCTCTTGAGCGAGCTGTACATGATGCACTTTCCTCAGATTTTCAAAAGTACAACCAAAAGATGCGGCAATTAGTCTTTAATATTAAGGTAAGATATTAGTTTTGCATATTTGTTTCTTCTAAAAATTCAACATATTTATGTCATATGTATCATACCAGTGGATGGATTTACATACTTAAATCTAGTCATATACTTTGTGATATGATCAGTTTTTTGCTTAATAGGGATAATGGGCATAACTTACTAACCTATGTAGACATTTGTTGCTAATGTTTTCTATGCAGGAAGTTTTTAAATTTTTAATCACATTTTTTTTTAATTTCTTGTCAATTGTCTTTCCTTTTTATCATGACCAGAATAATGCACACTTAGCCCGACGTCTCTTAATTGGGGAGCTAGATGCATCACAAGTATCAAGCATGACACCAAACGAGTTGAAGGCAAGCTTTTGGTTGACATTTATTCTTCATTTGATTGTTCTCCAGTTTACTCCGAACACTACTTACTACCTAGCTTTTATATGCATATATTATTCTTTTTTTCAATTTTCTTTGGTTTCTTTAAGTGTTTTTTTAAATAAAAAATAAATTTGTTGATTGATTTTTTATTTGATTGGGCATGTGGAATTGTATTGCTAGTAGTTCCTATGAAGACATGAAATAACACAAACTAGAAAACCGAGTCAAATTTTAACCCAATCAAGTTTCTTAGGTTGTCTGCGTCTATGAAATAAATAAGTTTTACAATACCCTAGATTCTCAAAGGCTAAAGGGTCAAATAGGTCCCTGTACCTGTCTGTAATGCTCAATTCGCGCCCTGAACTAAAAAAGCTCCAATTGGCACCCTGAACTGGATAAAAAGTTTCAAATTTGACAATTTGCAGGTAAATATCCGGTCGCGCCACGTCATCAGATAATGTGCCAAGTGTGCATCTTAGGTGGCAACTCTAGGGGTCAAATAAGCCCCTGAACCCAACGGAATTGTTCAATTCACCCCCTCAACCCTTAAAAAGGGTTAGAATTATGAAAAATAAAAAATAGAAAATACAATTAAAAAAACAAGTCGAAATTATAAATTATAAGTATGAAATATATATTTTTTGCAGTAAATTCATTATAGAAAATAAAATATAAACTTCAAGAAATTCTTTAACTTTATTTCCATATTTTATATCTATATTTTATATAAGAAAATAAACAATATATTTTCACCAACTATATTTAAATTTGTATTTTATGTATTATATATAATATTTTGTAATGTAAACACATTTGTAGGTTTTTGGTCTGATGGTTTATATTTTCCATTTGTATTTTTTCATTTTTGTATTTTTGATTTATTTTAAAAACAGATTAAAAATATATTATTTTGGTACAATTAGATATTAAAATTATTTTATTTAGATGTAATTATTTTTTTGAAGTATTCTAATTAGACTTATTTATATTTATAGAATAAAAAAAGACATATGGAAGATTTAATTCGATACTTTGTACTAATTGTTTAGATCATAAATTTTTTATACAGTACTATAGAAGAATTAAAATTAAAAAAATAGTAATTACTATATTTTTATTATTTATTTAGTACATATATATTTAAATTATAGTAGTTTTTTATATACTAGTATTAAATATACTCCCTCCGTCCCAAAAACAACTTCCCACTTTCCTTAAATGGATGTCCCAAATTTAACTTCACACTTCTTCTCACTTCCTTATATGGCAAATTATCTACATCAAAATAGTGCTAAACAATGTCAAACAGTGTCAAACAGTGCCACACAGTGCTAAACAGTGTTCAAACAGTGTCCAAACAGTGTCAAAACAGTAAAATTTACCCCAGTAAGTTTATTTCCTTGATATGTGTGGAAAACGAAGTGTGAAGTAATTATGTGTACTTTATGTTGTATAAAGCAAGGTAACACATATCTGTATGTATGTATGCATGTACCCATAACTTTCACTTTTTTATATAAAGTATAAATAAAAGATTTGGAAATAAAGTTAAAGAATTTCTTTTAGTTATTATTGAATTGTACTTTATTTTATATTCTTATTTTCTATTTTTCATAATTTTAACACTTTAATAAGGTTGAAGAGGTGAATTGAACAACTAAGGCGGGTTTAGGGGCTTATTTGACCCCTCGAGTTTCCATCTCAGATGCATAGGTGGCACTGTGGCACATTACCTAATGACATGGTGCTGATCTGATTGTTACATGCAAATTGTCAAATTTGAATCTTTTTATCCCGTTAAGGGTGTCAATTGGAGTTTTTTAAATTAATTCAGGGGACGAATTGAGCATTACAGACAGGTCCATGAGCCTATTTGACCCTTTAGTTGATTCTCAAATGCATAAATTTCTTTTAAAGTTTGTGATTTTTGAATAGATAATGTATGTTAACAATAGTTTACCTTTTTAATCTGAATTTCAGGAGGGATTAACTTCAGATGAGCTTGCAAGTAGGCAGCCTGAGGAGCAAGAGCCCATTCAGGTTTTTCTTTTGAATTAATACTCTGTTTTTCTAAGCTTTCTATTGCCCTTGTACAATTTGAACTCTGCTGTTCGTGTGTAATGTTGAATGCACCCGTTGGTGGATGTGTGTTGGGATAATCATCTTGTGCAAAAAGATTGTAATGCAGAGTTTTACTTACTGTACAAAGACTTATGCATTAAATAGATTGGCCCATGCATTAACTAGATTGGCCCAACACACATATTTGCAGATCATTTTGATCCTACACATGAAGTTATGATGTTATAAATTATAATGTTAGTAGAAGGTACAGGGTTGCAAGGACAATTACATATATTAGTCTTTAATAATTTCCCCATCTTTTGGTGCAGATGACTAATGCTCGTTGCAGGCGGTGCAGTGAAAAGCAAGTTCGGCTGATAGATATCATCCAGGCGGGACACGGCGATCGTTATCAGGTACTATTGCATAGGGCTGGCGTTTTGGACCGAAAAACCGAAAACCAAACCGAAAAAACCGAACCGCTTTGGAAACCCCCCGACCCGAACCGATATAATTTGGGACCCGAAAATTGGGACCCGAAAAAAAATGGTTCAGAATCGGTTTATAGTGCCAATATATCGGTTTGAACCGAACCGACATGTTATTAATAATAATTATAATGAATTTTATAGTTAATGACCTTTATGAAATGTATATAAAATGATATGCAGTCCCAAAGAAACAAACAAAGCTCTCCAGTAAGATGGTTTCCAAGCGAGTCCGTTGACATGGATGTCCCGTGTTCGAAATCCGGGGCTTTTTGTTTTTTAATCAATGCTTCATTTCAATTTTGTTTCCACAACACTTTGTCCCACACCGGAGACATGAGAGAACTTCCTCCTCAAAAGCAACTATATAGTGGATGTTTTCTCTACAACCTATCCGTGAAAGCCCGACATAACCAATTAGATTGTTAGGCAAAGTGAAACTGGGTATTGAAAAGTTCAAATATTTTGTTTATTTATTGAAAGTCGGTTCTGGATTCAGGTCTTAGTAAACCGACCCGGAATATCAGTTTCCGATAATTCGGTACCCGTTTTTGAACGGTTCGGTTATGGTTATTTGGATAACCGAAATGTCGGTTCGGTTTCGGGTTAACCTTAATCGGTTCGGTACCCGAACCGAACCCAGCCCTACTATTGCAGCCCAGACTTTCCATTTCTGGTGCACCATCAGTGGGTTCAGCAAGAATAGCTGAGTTTTTTTGACAAACTTGTTTTGGATGTTCAGATTCTTTTTTGTGTGTGTTTGTGTGTGAGAATGAAATACACGTGAAGTGATTTTTTTCGGTGGTTGAGGTTGTATAATCTTTCAAGTCATTAGTTTGAGTTGTCTTTTGTGGAGCTAATACCCCCTAATCTCATGCCTATACACTAATTCTCAATTTGGTCTCATTTTTTTTTGATCAGTTTAGTCATTGACTTGCTATTTGGTCGCACTTAGTCGCTATACACGTTTGGCTCTATTTAGTCCCTATTTGTTCTTCACTAAACTGGAAGGGTATTTTGTCTGTTCACTAAATTCAGACCCAATTTGGGAATAGGTTTTCTCCTCAACCATGTACTTTGTACCCAATTTAGTTCTCACGTGACCTAAAATACACTTCAATCAGATTGAAATATGTCCAAGGACATAGTTGAGGGACCAAATCATTGGGCAATAACTCTCTTTCTTATATCTACATTACTCGCTCTTGTCTTCTACATTGGGTGCACATGAATGTATGCTATTTTCAGCTGGAGTGTGGAGCTTGTGGGAACACCTGGTACGCATCAAGGGATCAAGTTGCAACCCTGACGATTGGAGGAGGACCATCCATTGGCACAGAACCACCAGTTGCCAAGGTAGAAGACAGTTCCGAGAAGCAACAGGACAGAGATGATCTTAAACTGGTGAAGACAAAATCTGAAGATGACATTTCTGATCTTTAAAATATCCCCTGTTGGTAGTACTTATTTGTACAACATTACCATATCTATGTGGGTGTGTGTATATTTTGCTACTCTGCCAGCCACTTGAAACTTCAATCAACTACTCTGTAGTCCGTACTACTTTAGAAAGATATGTATTTTATTTAAGAACATCAGAAAGATACTAGTATATTGCTATACATTATACAAAAGTTACGTCAATGGTTTTACACTTTTACATGTTTGCGTTGTTGCTTTTCAACCATTTTAAATAACGCTTCAATACAAACACAGCAGGGCCGTTTCTCACTGACAGAAGAAGGGCCGCAACTCCAAGCACCTAAAAGAGAGAAGTTGAATATGTGCTTAGAACTTTCAAATAATTTTGATAAAATCTGGTGCCCTTTCTAATTCATTTTTAGTTCCATATATTCAATTGGAACAGATTTAACAAATACTCCTTTCGTTCTTTAAAGCTTTGCCAACTTTACTTTTTTGGATGTCCCATTAACTTTGTCATTTTATTTTTTAAGTAAAGAGTTTATGGTTTCAGTTAATTCTCTCTCCTCTGCACATACCTCAATCACACACTTTTTTACTTTATTAATTCCTGTGCCAGTCAAACTTGACAAAGTTTTAAGATTCGGAGGTAGTAGTACATAAAAGGTTGAACACCATTAGAAGCTGGTGTTGAGCGGTTTGGATGGATGCCCAATATTGTTGATTTGTTTCTGGTCCTAAATAAAATAAGTGGCCGGTTTGGTTTTTCACCCACTTTGTATTAAGTAGTATATCCGATTAGACTAAAGTGGGCCAAATCAATTGATGAAGTATATTGCCATATCTTAGGGCTGTGAACTTTACACGAAGGAACCTTCGCAACCAGCTAAGGCAATTCTTGGCGAGGCCGAACCTAACGAGGCCGAGCTCAAATCCAGTTATCAGATTATTGAGATAAGCCTAAATTTGCAGCCGAGGCTGAGCTCACTGTTGGGCTGAGGTCAAGATCGACTCTGCCATTCTGGTGCAGTAGCTGAACCCAGGGCCAAATCCGAGATGTCCAAGATCAACAAGATAACTCCAGTTACCATTTGCGCTTTTAATGGTAAAAAATCCGGCCATATCATCAATCATCAACTAAGAAAGTGAATCAGTTTTTTCTCTCCAATGTCCACTCTTTCTTCTCAACTGTTATGCTGATGTGTAAAAATAGATGCGGATAATGTGAAACCTTTGTAATTCATGAAAGCGAATTATACTGGCCGAGTTAGCAGGGAAGGCATCGTGTAGCAAAGAAAGTGGATGTGCTTTTAGGAAAAACTGCTGCATACTACTAGGAAGGATGCCTACCTCTAATAATTAATACTCCGCACGTTATGAAATGCAATGGATTATTAAAATTAATAAATTCGAAGTAGGCTTCACACTCACGTCTCAAAGTGCACATCGAATGCCCATTTTATATTTTTGATTTATTACGCTTAACGCTCCTTTTACATCGTCTAGCATTAGAGATATTCTAATAGTGAAACATTTTTCTTTCATATTGATGGAGTATATGGGCCTGGACCTCAGGACCCACATAATCAGAAGAACAAGAGACACAACTGTCATCCAGTGGGGTCTCCGTCGGCCAGATAGCCCTCCATCGGCCAGAAAAATATCAACTCAGAACATGGTCTAGAAGCCAGAAGAACCGGGTGACCCCGTCGGCCGGGCTCCGTCGGTCATGGCTCCGTCGGCCATGGCTCCGTCGGCCATGGCTCCGTCGGCCACAAAGGGCTCCCAGAACCGGACTTCACACTTAATTATTCCTACATATTTTGTACTCAGCCCAATAGTTGCCCAATTGTAAATGGGCCTCCCAAGCCCAAGACTTGGGAGCCCGACCCTAATTTCCTCTATAAATACTCCCCTTGGGGTAGTTGTAGGGGGTTCACAAATCATTTATTGCAAGGAATTATTGTACTTCTCTCTAGAATATATATACTCTATCATTTGGTGCTCTCGTTGAGAGCTATAACAATCAAGTTAGCCCCCTTCGTCGCTACCAAGCACAACTAACTGATCATGGGAAGAACTAAGTCTAACCGCAACCTCCTCGGCAAGGCCATCCCTGAGGCCCAAGAAAACCAGGAACACGAGGAGGACGCTACGGACGACAAGGCCGCCGGCGAGGATGTTTTCCAGGAGGCCATCAACCTCACGAATGACCTTCGTCACCAGCTCAACGACGGCGCCCCTGACGCCCGTATCGGCCTGGACAAGAAGCGCCTGGAGAAGGGCGACAATGCCTCGGGGCAACCGGCTTCTCCTGCCGTTGACCCTCAGCTCCAGGCCGCGCTCTCGGCCATCATCGCCAGCTTGGCCCAGAACCCCACCGTCCTCAGCGCACTCATGCCAAGGACGGGGGAGAACACGACACCGCCTCCTCAGCCTCAGCCGTTGGCCATCAAGCTAGGCAACAACGAAGGGGTGGTGCCCCAGGACACGACGTCGTCCCACTCCCACCCTGCTTCCCCGCTTCGAGCTGGACCGACCCCAGCGTGGGGAAAAGCCTCAGCCTTTAATAGGCTAGGTGATACGTGCCGTCGGCCAGCTTCGGAGAGGATGGCGGGACGGATTGGTGAGCGTGAGCCTGGCTCACCCAGGGAGAGCTTGGGGTCCGTATCCCGGATAGCGGATCGGCCCTGCCTGGACAAAGGCAAGGGAAAGCTGCATGAGGGTGACGCACGCCACCAGATCAACACGGCTCACGCAACTCGCTTGCAGACACAGGGCGCCACCATGGCTGCCAAGGACCCCAGGGACGAGGTGATCGCCCAACTCGAGCGAAGGTTCGCTCAGATGGAGGCCAAGCAGTTGGCCGCCACCCCCACGGGCAACTCATTTAGGGATCCCGGCTTCAACGCCCTTCTGCACAAGGTCAACATCCTTGAGAGGGAGTTGGCCGAAGGACGAGGAGACCCCATCATCCAAGTCAGTACGAGGACTCCCTTCACTGCCAGGGTACTCTCGGCCCCTATCCCCGAGAAGTACAGGGGAAACGCCATCAAACCTTATGACGACCGCTCCGACCCTCAAGAGCACTTCAACCGCTATCAGAACAACATGCTGATGGTGAACGCGTCGGAAGAATACCTATTCCGTTGGTTCCTTTCTACTCTGGAGGGGCCGGCGTACGAGTGGTTCAACGCGCTCCCCGAAAGAAGCATAGACTCATGGTAGGATCTTGCCCAGCGCTTCCTCACCCATTTCGTCGGGAGGAAGCGCGCGAAGAAATATTTCACCCATCTTCTCTCCGTCAAGCAACAACACGACGAATCACTCCGGTCGTTCATCGATCGATGGACGAGGGAGACCGATGAGGTCGAGGGGGCCAATGAGCGCACCCTCCTTTTCCTATTCCAGGGCGCCCTCCGTAGCACCCCATACGCACGGAGTCTCATCACCGACCCTCCAAGGTCCTATATGAAGGCGCTCCAGTGAGGAAACTTATACGCTAACGTCGACGAGCTCCACAGCCACAAGAAGGACGGAGGGCACCCTTCCAAGAAGATGAATACTGTGCCAACTCCAGGCGCACCCTCGGCCGGGGACCGAGGTCAGGGAGGACAAAGCCGCCATGGGTCTGGCGGAAAGAACTAGGACCACATATGGCGGCCGAGGATGGAAAGGCCGAAGACCCCAATCACTCATTCTGTCAGCTCCATCCTCGATTATGCCGAGGAACATGATCTCATCGAACGAGATCCTCATTCAGCAAAGGAAATCTACGCCGTCCATCAGGGCGGCACCTACTGCCGTTACCACAGGAACACCTCCCACAACACAGACGACTGCGTCACGCTGAAGAGAGCCATCGAGAAGCTAATTCGTCAGGGGGAACTCTCCCAGTTTGTTAAAGGTGGCCCACGCAAGAATACACGGGCAAACCTGGGGGCGAACCCTCCACGAAGAAGCGTGAGATCGGCAGACTCAGCGATGACGATGAAGACTCCGAAGAGCCTTCTCCGAAGAAGAACCACATCCACCTCATTGTGGGGGGCAACACTGGGGGGACTCAGCCACCCAGAGGAAGAAATGGGCCCAATCCCTTTACATTGGGGAGGTGTCCCATGCTCCCCCCAGCAGAAGAAGAAGCGGACAGAGGCGATCACCTTCACCGACAAAGATCTGCCTCGTTATCCGGTGCGAGATAGGTGTCTCTATCATTCACCACACTTACATCGATACGAGGATATCCGTCAATGTCATGTACCTTGACACATTCAAGCACCTGAAGCTGAACAAGGCCTTGCTCAAGCCAATACAGACACCGTTGTCCGACTTCACCGGGGACTCTATCGACGCCGAAGGCACGATAGTCCTCCCCGTGGAGGTCGGCAACGGCTCCCATCATGCCAAGATTGACATGGAATTTATGGTGGTCAACCTCAAATGCGCCCACAACCTGATCTGGGGGAGGCCGACACTAGAGGACCTGGAGGCCATCATCTCCATGAAGCACCTGTGCCTGAAGTTCCCCACCAGTGGCGGTATCGGCTATGCCAGGTGGAATCAAAGGATAGCCAGAGCATGCTACCTCAAGCTGACAAAGCCGGCCGCGGGCACCGAGAAAAGGGTAGACACTATCACCGCCACCGTCGCCAAGGAAGAGGAAAGACCACATGCTGAGCCAGCTGAAGAGGTCGAGGAGGTCCCCCTGGACCCTTCTCGGCCAGAGCGAGTCCTGAAAATTGGGAGGCAACTCCCCCGGGACCAACGTGACGGCATCCTCCAAGTCCTGCGGTCATATGCAATCATTTTTGCGTGGGACCGGACGACATGCCTGGCATCAGCCAGAAGGTGATCACTCACCGGCTGTCAGTCGATCCCGCCTCCACGCCAGTAAAATAGAAGCGACGCTACCT